GAGAGAGAGAGAGATCCGGCCGGGAAGGAGAGGTGCGGAAGTGGTGTTGGTCTCGGACGTGCGCCTGCGCTCGCGGTGGGACCTTGCAGGTAATTTTCTGCCCGCTGGTCTGGGAGACAGCGCAGGCACGGCCCTTTCCTCAATCGCCGCCACCATTGATACCGCCATCATCTCCACCATCACCAACACCGCCTTTGAGAATCACTCCATCCTTGCGTACCGCAGGTGACTAGCACTGAATCACCGCACCACTGCTGCTCCGACTGCGGACAGCTAGCAGAGCATCTCGCTCGCTCGCAGCCTCAGCCTTCGTCCCACCTCGCATCCCTGCACCATACTTCATCGACCTCTTGCTGTGTGCGAGCCCATTTGCCACTGCCACGACAGACGCGGCCTTGATCCAGACAGGCTGCTCGCCACCCAGCATCGATCCGGTCATGCAGCCCACAGTCATCCGTACGAAGGGCAAGCCTTCTCCACTCGCACCCGATGCTCCGACGTTCGTGGGCGGTGGCTCAGACTGGGTCTATTCGGAGACGTTTAACATGGGGGTCGAGGTTGAGGAAAAGTGTTGTTCAGCGACTCAGCAGAACGCACAGGGAGGAGCGCATGCAGGCCGGGGTGAGCTACGGGGTCGGCAGATAGCTTCCGTGATGAAGAGGACAGACAGCTGACACGCTTTATGTTGTGAGCATGCCGGCAGCATCTCCAGGTGTCGAATCGACTAAAAACGCAGGTGCGGCATCGCCGGAAGTAGCTCAGTCTCTGACGTTCGCCAGCATCACGAGCCCAGGGGAGCTCCACGCCCTGCTCGGCCACCCTCGATCGATCGTCGGCGCCAGCTCGCGCAGTCAAGTCACAATTGACCTTCGCTGTGGCACTGTTCAGCTCACGTTCCAGGGCACCTGTGGCAAGACTGCTGTCAGCGGGCTCGGCGAGCTGCCAAGGCATGTCAGCATCTCGATGTCGTTCCTGTCCGAAGGATGCTTCCACACCTTCTCGCTCTGCGCAGACGGACGAGCGACTGTCGAGGCTTTGGAGCCAGACTCTTACAAAAGAGAGGTGTACGTAAGGTCGGGCGGCTACAGCTATCACGGAACAACAGAAATCGTCCACCAAGTGAAAGGAGAGGTGAGTCGAGAGCATCTCGCACCATGTAGTCTGCTTCCCTCGGATTGCGCGGCTGAAACTTGACTTCTCCTTGACTGGCTTGCACAGCTTCTCTGGACCTTTTCGGCCATCCCCTCTTCCCTGCAGCGCCTTCTGCACGAGGCGTCTGCACGCAACGTGACCGTCCATCTGGCCGCAACCGGCCACGGCAGACTGCCGTTCACAGATCGTCAACTCGCGATGCACCCTCGGCCCCCCAGCACAGACAAGCTTCTGATGACGACCCGCAGGCTCATGGCGGCCCCAGAATCGTCGCTCGTCATTTTTAAGGCGATGCTGGACAATGAGGGCAACCAGACGATGGTCGTCAGCAAGACTCTGCTCAGTGAGAGGAGCGACTTCTTCAAGACGAGTGAGCATCAGGGGACGCAGCGATCCGAACGGTGGCATCGAAGACTTGCTCTGACTCACGTGTTTGTCTGAGACCCGTTGCTTGTCCGCAGTGTTCGACTCTCAGTTCAGCGAGGGTCGCCGAATGCTAACGGCTGCGGCTGAACACCGCGACGACGAAGAGGCGCCCAAACCATCGACATCGACTACTGCAAAGGCGGCTTCTGACTCTACGGAAGAGCCGCGGTAAATGTCGGATGCGCCAGTCAGCCCCGGAGATCCAGAGCAAACGGAGCAAGCCTGCATTCTTATTCCCACGGACCGGCCTCAGATTTCGCTGGCAAACGACGGCTGTGACCTCAACCAGCGCTCCTCGGCCGCGCACCCAGTCGCTGGCTCTATATCACTCCCTGTCATTGAGTTCAAGAGTATCGACCCGACCTCGCTAGAGGCGCTAGTCTTCTTCCTGGTGAGCGCCTTCGCCACCACTTTCCCGGCGATTCCAGTCATAGATCGCCCTGCTGACCGACCTGCCGTCTGCTCCGATGCATGCTGTCGCTTCCCCACAGTACACGGGAACGTGCATCTTTTGGTCACGAAAGCAGGGCCAAGCTCGCCTTTCTCAACTCGGCATGTATGACGACGGGCCGCGCTTCGCCGTCTCCCCGTGGAGCGATGACATGCACCCCTGCGACGCCGCGAAGATGTACGAACTGGCGGACATGGTGAGTACGCAGGGCGTGCCGAGGACGGTCATGCCCTCTGCCTGTTGATATGTGCTGACCCTCGAGTGCACTCTCGCGCGACCAAGTATGCTGAGCCGGATCTGCGAAAGCTCGCCCACAGTCACATTGTCAACGAGCTGGATGTCGAACAGGCCTTCAAGGACCTCTTCGCGAGCAAGCTTTGCCAGCTGTACAGCGAGATTGTAAGTCGCATCCCGCCGTGTACGCTCTGCTCGAAGCCGTGGGACACTGCGCTCCACCCCCCCCCCCCCCCTGCCTCCTGCTGTCGTTGTCATTGCCCGATCGTATGCCGACAGCGCGAGGAGTACATCGACTTCTGTGTGGAGCACTTTGACGAGATCTCTAAGCTCGACTCATACGGGCAGACGATTGGCGAGATCGTCTCGGGGGCGTACCCGCCGATCGCCGCCGAGGCTCTGCGCACGGTCATGGCTCGCATCGGAGCCAGACCCAAGTGATTGGTGATGTACGGAGGGCAGCATCGACGGTATTGGTACCGTCCTGCTGCACATAGCGAGCGAGCTGAAGAACGGCAGAGCAGGAGGAGAAGAGAGCACGTGGGACAAGAGGGCAAGATGGCACGGCGGAGGAGAAAGGCGCACCCGCCCAGTCTAATGGAGACGACGATGTCGACGTGACCTCTCGAGCGAAGCGACGAGTGATGAAGTGCGAGTTGCTGACAGCGGAGTAGGGTCGATGGTCGCAGAAGGTGTTCAAGCATGTCCAGCCGCGGAGTCGAAGACTGCGGTCGGTCAGAAGGTCAGGCCAGAGATGTGCGTGGCGCGCGGAACGCTCCCCGCTTGCCCACCATGCGGACCGCACGCGCGCCTGGAGCAGCAGCCGGCGGTGTTGGTCTCGGGCGGCGCTCGCGCGAGCTTGGACCCTGCATGCAGCGTCGAGAGAAGAACCGAGCGAGGAGGCCGGCTTGCTTCGACGCTTTGGACTGCACCACCACCACCACCACCACCACCATCACCACCACCACCACCATCGCCACCACCACTGCCATCGCCTTTGCCACCACGCACCGTCGACCTAATTCTGGTGCCTCTCTGGAAGACACCTCTTCCTAGCCATCCCTCATAGCATTCTCAGCTCTACTGGCGCTGCGAACAACCACGTCTCGCATCTTCCCTCAGCCTGCGATCAATTGGCGACTGTTGCGACCATGTCGGCACAAACAACGGCGTACCCTCTGACCGTCTATCTCGACAGGAACTCGACGCCGATCCGGCAATGGCCGCCGTTCTTGCTCCGTGGGCACGGGGGTTGGAAGTACTTGGACACGCTCATCTTTGGTATCTCGACGGACGAGCTGTGCACTTGCGATGCCGTCGATGATGGGCACGACGAATCCATGTCGGACTCTTCCGACCCGTCAGGCGATCCGACCGCGGCTCCCGGGTCCAGCGATCGAGCAGGGGCATTACGGGCTTGGAATAGGCCCGAGCGTGTCAACACCCCAGAAGAGCTTCGCGCCATGCTGGGTCAGACGCACTACCTGGCCGGCAAGGGCACGCACTGCGACGTCAAGATCTGCCTGCGCACCGGGACGGTATCGCTCAGGTTCGACGGAAGCGACAGAGGCCTGGCGCGGAAGGATCTTGCCGCCTCGAAGGCCCACATCACCCTCTCGATGAGCTTTGTATCGGAAGGACAGTTCCACACATTCTCAGTCCGCTCCGATGTCGAGCAGGTCTTCAGGTCCTCGCCCGCGGTGAGGCGGGGGAACCATTTGGCACCCGTAACCGTACGTGTATCGCTCTGTCTTCTCGCGACGCCCTCGATCCAGACCGTTAGTCAACGCAGCGATACGCAAGAGCAGCTGACACCGCCCTCTCGTCGATCCTTTGGCTTGCAGCTTCGCTGGAAGGTAGACCAGATTTGCTCGTCTCTGCAGCGGCTCCTGCAAGAAGCCTCGGACGGTGAAGTCGCCCACCTCTGCGTCTCCGGACACACGAGTGAGCCAGTCGCTCCTGCGCTGCTCGGCATGCACCCGGAGCCTGCGCAAGAGGATGCGCTCGTCGATGTCGCGGCAATGATGGTCTGCAGCGACGAGTCGAATCTTGTCAAGCTGAGACCGGCGAGGGACAACGACGTGGGACGCACGGTCCTGGCCGACAAGGCGATTCTGATGGCACGGTCGCCTTTCTTCAAGACGAGTGAGTCAGAGACGGACGCTCGCAGTCGGAAGACGCAGACTGCACGTCCCGGCTCCGACCTAGCTGACACGATGCCTTGAGCGGCATCACCTCCGCAGTGTTCGAATCAGGCATGAACGAGACCCGACAAGCGACGGCGGCTCCAAGAGGCGGTCCAGATGGCGGCCGGTCCATGCACGACGACGGTGGCAGCGGTTCTGCGCAGCTCTCTGACGCCGCCACCGGCGCCGCTGCTAGCAGCTCGATCCCTGTCGTGGACCTACACGACGTCGACGTCCCGACTCTCCAAGCATTCATCGTCTTTCTCGTGAGCACTCGTGGCGGCAACAGGCTCGAGAAGTCCCGCAAGCTTCGGCATTGAAACCGACTGACTCGACCCCAGCGCTTGCGGATCACAACTGCGCACGCAGTACGCCGGGACGTGCAAGTTCTGGTCCCAACGAGACAGGCCGATACCTGTTGAAACGGCCCAGGTGTACGCCGGCGGACCGCCGCTCTCGCTTTCCCCGTGGAGCAAGCATACACTGCCGCTCGCCAACGCCGAGAAGGTCTACAGGATTGCCGACATGGTGAGTGCAGCAGGTCCCGACCTGCCCTTGGCATCTTGACCAGCGGCCGGCGCGCTGAACCATCCAACTTTCTTTCTGTCCTTTGCGCGATCCATCCCCGGTCGATCCAGTACGGCGAGCCCGCGTTGAAAGAACTCGCTAGGTATCACATCTCTAACGAGATTGAGTTGGATGATGCCTTCCGGGGCCTCTTCACAAACGAGCTCGCCAACCTCTACGAAGAGATTGTGAGTCGCCTTCCCCTCTCGGCCCCACCGCCGCTGTCTTGCTTGCATGTCGCGTCTTCCGCCACTGAAGTCCGCTGCCTCCCTTTCGACCTGCCTTCGCGCTGATCCGCCAACAGCTACAGGTCTACATCGACGTCTGCGTCGAGTACTTTGACGAGATCGTCATGACGTCCGGGTACCACGACATGATGGGCGAGCTCATCGCAGGCATGCACCCGCCCGCGGCCGCCGAGACGCTCAAGATGCTCTTGGCCCGCGTCGCTATGGGCAAGGAGGTCTCTGTCTGAACATGCGCGGGTGACAAGAGCCGACCTCATTTCAGCATCGAACAGGAACGAGACCCAGCAAGAGGATCTCGGCGGCAAGTAGACTGGACGCAGGACCCGGTCCGGACCCAAGAGCTTGTTGGAAGCTCAAGACGAACGCGAAGCAGCCGATATCACATGTACGACGCCGGTGCCGGACCAACTGGTTGTGGCTTATTGAACACATAGACAAAGCAGGTGATTCCGGGGCCATGCCGCATCTGCCCGCCCCACCGCCGGTGATGCGGTGTATCGTCCCTCGAGAGCGGGCCGCGCCCGAGACAGCATGGTCCAGTAGTAGATAGAGGTGACGCCGCCGGGTCGGGGCTATGAGCTCGCCTGCGCTTGAGCCTGATATCGTGGCAAGACCATCGGCATGGTCCGGATGATGAGCCTCTCCGAACACCACGCCGTACTGATAGCATCGGGGCGGACGAGTAGCGGCGACTTCCATCACGCGGTCACGACTCTCGGAGGCTCAAGCTCGCAGCACCCAACCCACCCCATCTTCCCACGCAACCGGAGGCCTCCGACTGCGCTGGGCCAGTTGACCGTGGGTGCAACACAGACTCAGCTTTAAGATCACGATAGATGCTTGCTGCTCCGGTGGTGCAACGGGTGTATGGGAAGGCACGGGTTGATGGTGCAGACAGAAGGTCGCGGCGGTCCGTGTAAGTCGCAGCCCTCGATGGCCGGGAGAAGCAGACGGGAGAGGAGCAGGCGTTACGTTGTGCCGTGCGGCCCGTGCCCTGCCGCCTGGCCGGTGGTTTGACCGGCATAAACGCTGGCCGTTTTGCCGGACAGGGCCTGTACGTAGGCTGCCGCGCGTGCCCGCGTGCCTGCCTGCCTGCCTGCCTGCCCCAGGGCCCTCGTTTCCCCGCCCGCCCTCCCGCCGAAAGAGAGCGTGGGGGAAAAGAGCCCGAGGCGGGCACTCGCCTCGTCCCTCCCTGGTCTGTTCATTCCGGCAAGGCAGTCTTGGAGTCTGCCCTACCTGCGCAGACTGACCAGGTCTGCGGGGCCAGGTCTGGCGAGGCGAGGCGTGGCGTGGGGCCGGGGCGGGGATACCGATGCCATGCCATCTTGCCTCAAGCTGCGCCTGCCTGACTGTCTGACTGCCTGACCGCCTGCCTGGGATGCCTGCCTATGCCGCCACCACCGGCTCCCGGCTGCTTTGGCTGCGACGGCCAGCGTGGACCTCGGTCCGAGGACCGCTCCTCTCTTTATATACCCATCGTCCACCGAGAGCCACGCTGGCCCTTCCGTCTATCTGTTCCTTCGCCCATCCCCTCCTCGTCCCGACTCCGTCTTCCTACCACTGTCCCTGAACGACTGCACGCCACCGCACATTGCTCGATCCACCGACCGACTGCCTGCCACCATGACGCCGCCCACCGCCACCGAGACCGCCACGGGCGCCACCAACTTCACGCTGCAGGGCACGCCGGCGCCCGTGCCCGTTGAGGTGGATCCGTCGAACCCGTCGAAGCCGGCGGCCAAGAAAGAGGTGCAGAAGGGCGCGCCCAAGTTTAAGTTCCCCAAGCCGCCCACCTACGAGTCGCTCGAGGCTGAGCGCGAGGGGCGCAAGGAGCGCCTGACCAAGGCCTTCCGCGTGTTTGGCATGCTCGGCTTCGACGAGGGCGTGGCGGGCCACCTCACCTTCCGCGACCCCATCCTCAAGGACCACTTCTGGGTCAACCCGTTCGGCGTGCCCTTCCGCTTCATGACGGTCCAGGACCTGCTCCTCATCGGCCCGACGGGCGACATTGTCATGGGCGGCCGCCCCGAGCGGATGCTCTACAATCAGGCCGCCTTTGCCATCCACCACGCCATCCACACCGCCCGGCCCGACCTCGACGCCGCGTGCCACTCGCACTCGATGTACGGCAAGGCGTTTGCCACGCTCGGCCGCAACATTGAAATCACCACCCAGGACTCGTGCGCTTTTTACAACAGCTGCCAGCTCTACGAAAACTTTGGCGGCGTCGTGCTGGCCGACGAGGAGGGCAACAACATCGCCAACGCCCTCGGCAAGACCAACAAGGCCCTCATCCTGCAGAACCACGGCATCCTCACCGCCGGCACCAGCATCGAGGCCGCTGTCGGCTGGTTGTGAGTGTCGAGTGGCAGGCGGTGGCGGCGGCAGTTGAGTCGAAGCGACGCTGTCGAATCGCGGCTGACCCCTACGTTCGTCCCCTCTACTTTTGTCCCCCCTCCCCTGTCACAACAGCATCATGCTCGAGAGGCACTGTCAGGTGATGCTGCTCTCGGACGCCGCCGCCGCTGGCCGAGGCACCAAGGTGAGTCTACGGCGGTCGCTGCGTGGGACATTGAAGCACAAATATTGATGCCGCCATCCCCCTCTCCCCCTGCCCCTCGCCACCAGCCCATCGTCATTGGCGACGACGAAGCCGCATTTACGCACAAGCAGGTGGGCTCCGACGCGGCGGGTGCGTTCCAAGCCTCGCCCTACTTCCAGACAATCGAGCAGCTCGACAAGGGCGCGTGGCTCCAGTAGAGTTGTCGATCCATGTAGGCTCAGGAGCGTCCCGTCGATGCCTCTCTCGTTGTCTCTTTCTCGTTGTACTTCTTGTTGGCCGTCGATTGAATCCGATACCGTGGCTGCCTTGTCGAAACATCGTCGGCGCCGTCGTCGTCGTCGTCGCGGCGGTCGCCTTCATCGTGGCGTGGCGCCAACTTGGCTCCCTCCCGGGCATGTCCATCCGAATGGCGGTCGGGCAGGCCAGAACGAGGTGGAGCCCCAAGGCCCCGGAGCCACACAAGCTCAGGCAGCCAGAGCGAGCGGCGACTTTTTCTCGGGTTCCGGCCAAGCGACCAGCGGGCGGGGCCTCAAGGCGCGCTTGGGCGACAAAACGCGGCGGGCGGGGGGTCGAGGGAAAAAAGACAGGCGGCCGGCAGCATCAGGGCGAGGCCAGGCAGCTTCAGGTCCAGAGGCCACAGGCCAAAAGCAAGCAAGGCGGGCAGGGCCGAAGCAGGGTCGCTGGCCTCTGCCGCCGCCCGTCGTCAGCGAGCAAGCCAGGCGGGCGGACGGGCGGTCAGGCTGGCAGGAAGCCTGGCCTCGCAGGCTAGAGCCTGCCGGTCTGGTCTGGTCTGGTCTGGCCTGGCCTGGCCTGGCCTGGCCTGGCCTGGCCTGGCCTGCCCTGCTTGCCTTGCTTGCTCACTCGCTGCTGGCCCCCTCCAAGAGTTCCGGCCCGCTCGCTCCGTCTCCATCTCTCCCGCACCCTCGAACCCAACTAAGGCTGGAACCGCACACAGGCCATCACCACCACCACCAACATCACCACCGCCGCCCGAAGACGCTCCGCCATCGACCGCCCTTTAGCCAGCACCTGCGTGACCACCCGTCTACTGTCCCAGGCAGCCACTCGACCCCATCAGCTCTCTTCGTCCCTCTCGACCCTCGACGAACCCTGTCGAGCTCCCTTCGCAGGCTTGCGACCGTCGGCGAGCCAGGAAAGCGGATCGATCCAAGTTGTGGAACCACCTCGGGCTAGGGCCTCATCGTCCCCTCCCCCGGCTGGCCTCGATCCATCCGCCCCCCTCGATACATGCTCACTCCGGTCTTCGCCCAGCCTGGAACCACCAGCGACCAGCAGGCTCGATAGCAGCAGAGAGCACAGCCATTCTTGAGCGTGCCGCAGAAGCGAGGCAGGCTCGATAACACACTCAGCGGCGATCCAGCAGTAGCGACACCCGGAGCTCGCCCTAGCCGCCCATCAACGTCAGCGGCCCTCCATATCGCCGAGCTCGTCTTCCTTTAGTCGCTGCTCCTGATCTACAGGAGCAATCCACTCAGCATCTCGACGCTGCACTCGATTTGACGACAGCATCGACCATGGCAGCTGCAAAGCCCCAGGAGGCGGATGGCGCCGCCGCAGACCCGGCCGCCCAGGCAAGCAACGAACCATCCACCGCCCCCACCTCTGTCGACAAGAAGGCCGGCGATGGCTCTGCATCCGCCTCGGCAGCAGAAGCGACCACCGATCCGGCCGCCAACGCCCAGGCAGATAACCACCAGCAGCAGCAACGGCAAGGGCAGACTCCCAGCGGAGTCGACGGGGCCCCTACCGCCGCCGGCACAGAACCTGCTGCGCCAGAAGAGTCGACGCCCCTCACATCTTCGCCGCAGAAGAAAAGCAGCAAGAGCAACAAGTCCAAGAAGGGTAGCAAGAGCAAGGGCAAGTCCAACAGCCCGAAGAGCGGCCGCAGCAACGGCGGCAGCGGCGGCAGCAGCGGGAGCAGCGAGGAGCGGGAGCCTACATCCGCGCACGAAGAGGCAGAGGAGGGCGAGATCGAAGACGACAAGCCAGCCCCTCGGACCGGCGGGCAACAAGAAGGAGCAACCGCGACCGCGCCGTCCACTTCCAAAAAGAGGGAAGCATCCGCCTCGTCGGAAGGCAGCGGCTCCGGCTCCGGATCCGGATCCGGGACCAAGCGGCCAAGGTCCTCTTCGACCAACAAGGAGCTGGCCCAGCTCGGCCTCGGCTCGTTTGGCGATGCGACAGAGGAGGTCTCTGGCCCGCGCAGGACCCGCAGAGCGCCCAACGGCTCGCCCGACCCAAAGCCCAGGCGTGACAAGAGCGCCGGCGGGGAAGACGAAATCGCTGCCAGGGCCAAGCCGGCGGCAGCATCAGCGGCGGAGGCGGCTGAACAGGTGCCCAAGCTCGAGGAGATCGAGACGAGCGTGTCAGAGACCAGGGTCGACGACGTCGCGCAGATCCAGGATGTGGCCATGGGGGAGGCCGGCTATGCCGACGCCGCTGCTGCCGACGGCGAGGGCGAGCTCGACCCCGAAGGCGGCGACGAAGGCGTCACCCGCTGCGTCTGCGGCAGCGCCGACGAAAACGTCGGCCTGATGATCCAGTGCGAGACGTGCAAGTGCTGGCAGCACTGCGTCTGCATGGGCATGCAGTTCGAGGAAGACTGCCCAGACGTCTACTTCTGCGAGCAGTGCAAGCCCGAGCTGCACATCCCGCTGCTGCGGTCCTTTAGCCTGCTGCCCCAGCCGCGCGGCGGCAAAAAGGGCAGCAAACAGAGCTCCAAGTACAGCGCCCGCGAGCTGCATCAGGCCAAGGAGTCGATTGCAGCGCTGGCCGAGGCCAACGCCCGCCGCAACCAGGCCGAGGCCAACCCGGGTTACGTGACGCCGACATCGTCCCGCGACCGGCGGCAGGGCTCGCACAGCCGAGCCGACTCGGAGCACAAGCACCAGCAGCAGCGGGAGCAGCAGCAACAGCAGACGCCCAAGTCGCCCAAGCGGCGCAGCACCATGAACAGCCGAGACTCGGCCTACGGCGGCTGGGAGCCGATCCCGCCGGGCCTGCTCAACGACAACGAGTCGTGGGAGTCGAGCGAGGCCCAGAGCGCGGCGCTGCAGGACGACAAGCGCGGCCTCAAGAAGCGGAAGCGCGGTGGCACCGACGACGCCGACGACAAGGACAGCGCCTTGACGCCCGACCCGTCCGACGAGGCCTCCAACTCGACGTCGGAGCTCGTCAAGCGAAGGCGGATGAGCGCTGGCAACCACGTGGCGGGCAACGGCGACGACCAGGAGACGGCAGCAGCCGACTCGAATGGCGACCGGGACCGCGAGGCGCATGGCAGCGGGGGCGGCTCGTCTAGAGACAAGGGCACCGGCAGCAGCAGCAGCAGCAGCAAAAAGAAAAAGGGCGGCAGCGGCTCGGCGCGCGACAATGCGTCCTCATCAGCTGCCGCCGCGGGTGGTGCTGCCGCCGGCACCGACGTCAAGCCGCGACACCCAAACCAGTACACGTACCGCAACAAGGACCGCAACGCCTCTGCAAATGGTGCCGGCATGGGCAAGGGTGGTTCAACCTCGGCATCGAACCTGACGTCGCACTCTCCGAGCCCGAGTCCGAGCAAGAGCCGGGCCGAGGCGGCGCGCCGCTCAGCCAGGGACCTCGGAGGGAGCGGGACGAGCCGCACGGGCACACCCGCTCCGGGCGACGGGAGCGGCGGCGGTGGCAGTGGAAGCGGCTCGAGAACCTACAACCCGGGCGCGCCCTGGGGTCTGCCAGACCACCTCGCCCACCTCGCCTACCTGCTGCCCATCTCGCTTTCTAAAGCGCAAAACGGGCAGGCGAGCGGGTCCAAGGCCGTCACGCCGTCTTCTAGTGCCCGCCGAACGGCCGCCGCCAACGCCGCCGCCGCAGCTGCTGCTGCCGCTGCTGCAGCCAGCTCGGCGACTGTCTCTTCGCCTTCGGCTTCCAACCCCATACCTGGCGCGTCCTCTTCGTCTTCGTCTTCGTCGTCGTCGTCGTCGCCGCACCCGTACAGCGTGGTGTCGGCGATCGAGTCGACCACCAAGGTGCGCTTCCCGGGCCGGAGGATGACGCTGGCCGAGATGCGCAAGCGGGTGCGCAACATCGGAGAGTACGTCACGCGCAGCCAGATCGAGGCCGTGGATCGCGAGAAGCGGATGCGGCTCTTGGGCATCGTGCCCGACTACCTCGATGACGAGGACGGTGCGGACGACGAGGCGGGGCAGGGAGAGGACGACGAGCAGCAAGCCATAGCGGATCGGGCGGCGACACCTGCCAAAGCAGCCCCGAACGGGGCAGCAGGCGAAGGCAGTCAGGACGCGGCGGGCAAGGCCGCGACGCCGCGAGCCATGTCCGAGTCGGTCGAGACGCCGCCCATGACGCCGCGCCACAATGAGGGTAGCGGCGAGGGCTCTGGCTCCGGCTCCGGCTCCGGCAGCGGTGGCGGCAGCGGCACCTCTAGCGGCCACCAGCGGGGACACACGCCAGCCTCTGGCGTCGCCAGCGCGGGCAAGCCCGGCAAGGCGCTGTTCGATGCGCTGCCGCTCAGCATGAGGCTGATGGACGAGCTGACGCGGGAGCTGATCCACTTCCAGCGCAAGTTTGGCACGGGGCCGGGCGCCTATGGCTCGTTTGGCGGTAACGGCGGCAGCGAAGGGAGAGGCGGCAACGGCGACCGGGTGGCTGCGTGAGCGCGGTGCGCACGCAGAGGGAGCGGATAACCGGCTGTCTTCCGAACGCGGAGATTTTGTGGACCGAAGAAGGAGGGAAGGAGATGTTCCAATTGCTCTCTGAAATGCACAGCGTGATCGCCATCTGCTCGCGAGGTTCTCGTCCTCGTGCTCGTTGCCGTCAGCCTCGGTCGTCTCGATTCCCCTCCCCTTTCCAGCCTGATCAGGCCGAGCATCGACGCACTCGCCGGCTCCTGAGTCGATGTCGGTCACCTCGAGATGCAGCCAGTCTCGTCGACCAGCAGGCAAGGATTTCCCTGCGCCATCCCAAAGGAGCGGGTGCAGGTAGATGGCCTCTAGGCGGATGTAGATGGGCCTGCTCGTCGGCGACAGCGGAGGAAGGGCGAACCCCACAAGCAAGGTGTTCGATGGCCGTGGCGACAAGCTGCTCGCCGACACACAGAGATGCGGCGCATACGGCGGCACCGGATCCGACCTCAGTCACACCCCTGCCTGTGAGTCGTTCGAGGAACCCCCAGGCAGCTGCGATGCCGATCGATGCGCTCCGGCCTGATCCTGCCTCGGATTTCGCTCTGCCTGCTTCGTTGCTTGCACCTCGTGTGCCAATACGACGGGTGCAACCAAGCTTCTTCACGTACGAGCGAGCTCGTGAGCCAGCCAGCCAGCCAGCCGCCCGATTTCGATTTTTTTCCTGCCCCTCCTCCGCTTTCCCATGGCCAAGCGATCTGCTACTTTTGCGATTTTCGCGATTTTCGCGAATTATTTTTTTTTCCTGGCTCCCCCCGCTCCCGACCTCGCCGTCGCCTGTCGGGTGCGCCACCCGGTGCCACTCCATCGCGACCGTCCAGCTCTTCGATCATCAACGGCGAGCGATGAGGCGTCGCACCGACCTGGCCGAGGTCGCTCGACGAAATCGTACTGGGAAACGGACAGGGGACGAGGTCGTCGAGCTGACGACGACGACGTGTCGCTCGCCCGCGCCCGGCCTCGATGCCTGTCCATCCCTGCCCGCCCATCGCCCGTCAAGCATTCCGAGGCGATCCGACCGGCGTCGTCGATGTTTTCGCGGCGGTGCCGACGTGTCACGGCCGTTGATGGAGCCGTAGGACAGCCCTGCTGCGAGAACGACGGTCGAGGTCCATCCGGGTCGACTACGCCACGAGCGGGCGCGGACGGCCGCAGCACACCGTCCCGCCCACTCAACCACCGACCGTACCCTTGGCGACCCACCGACAACGCTCCCGGAGCGATCCGTCGATCACCCTCTTTCTCGCAGCTCACCGCATCCTCGCCTGGCACGAGAAAGGGGGTTCAAGGTCGATCGCGCGGATGGCGTGCGTGCGGGCCGGCCGGGCGCTGGCGACATCTTCACCGCCTGCCTGCCTAGCCTGTGCTTTTTTTAAAATTTGAATTGGATTTCGATTCAACTCGGGCGCTGGGCTGCGTCGACTTTCCAAGCGACCTCCACCTGCGGTCGCGTCGGCTTTGCCCTCCGTACGTCCTTGGACCCGAAAAGGGCAAGGCGAGAAATGGAAAATCCGCGATCAGCAGCGAGAGGGGCGAGTCGAGAAGGAGGAGTGGCGTGGCGTGGCCTGGCCTGGCGTGGCCTCAGCCTTGCTTCGAGGCTGGTCATTGCCACCTGGCTGTCGACGTCTGCTCGGGAGGCGACGCATCGTCGAGCTCACCTCAGGAGAGGTTGCATGCTGGGTCTCGGGCGGCGACGGGTAAGGCCCAAAAGGGCATTTGTCCCACGAGAGGGTCGACGAGACGGCATGACTCCGACTCGGCTCATCGTTCGAACGCACGCCTCGACTTGAACCTCCTCGACCGGCGTCGACTTCGTGCTGGATCCGTCTACAACCTTCTGGCTGCGATCGAGGTGCTGCGCGGTCGATACATCGCCCGGATCGGACAGGACTTGGGGCAAAGAACCGACGGGGCGACGGAGCGGTGCGACACGGATGCTGGGCGGCGTACGTCGCCGTGTCGACTTGCCTCGGCGTCGCTCTGACCACCCAGCTGCCCTCTAGCCAGAGCTGCGCCTGCTGTGGCCGTGGCTGTGGCTGCGGTTGCGGTCCGACCCAAGATCGAACCGTCGGGTGCGAGCGAGACCGGCCGTGTGTGTGTGTGACGACGGCAAAGCGACCCGCGCAGCGTCTGCGTCCTGCCAGCTGGCCGAGCGCTGCTCCTTGCTTCCCCACCCGTTCCTTCTCTGAGCCGTCGTCGCAGCCACACCTCACAGCATCCCCCGCAGCTCCGCGATGTGACCAGCATGCCATCTCTCCAGGCAACCAAGCAGAGACGGCCAGTAGTGTCGCTGAGTGAAGGGCCCGTGGATTTTATTCTGCGATGTGCGGCGGGGCGGCATCGTCGCCAGCAGCTGGGCGAGTTGGCGGTGAGCGGTCGAGGAGGGGAAAATCCGATTTGCGCTGGGTCGGCCGGCCCCTGCAGCGAGCAGCTTGGCTTGTTCCCCGAGCGCAACGCGCAAGCAGGCCAAGGTCGACGCACTTCGCTTTTTGTTTTTGTTTTTCGTCGTGCGCTTTTGGCGGCTGCAGCTGGGCCGGCAAGGCAGGGCAAGGCAGGGCAGAGCAGCCTAGCAGCGTCCCATCCCCACGCACGCACCCACACCCACGGGTTGCCTGCGCCGGAAGCCCACGCTTGCTGGCTCGATTCTGCCTGCCTGCCTGCCTGCCGCGCTGCTGCCGCTGTTGCCGCTGCTGCTCTCCTGCCCTGCTGCCTCCCTGCCTCCCCTGCCCTGGACCTGCCCGCGCAGGAAAGCAGCGCCCCAGGCAGCCAAAACAGCCTGGGGCAGGTGAGGCAGGGTAGGGCGACCAGGCAGATAGGCAGGGTGAAATGGCCCGCCCTTGTCACCGAACATCACACACTTTCGACTTGGCCATCGTCCGACTCTCTCCACCACCATCACCATCCGTCGTTGTCGCCCTCACGACTCTCGTCCGCCGTCGCTTGCCCTGGTCCCCTTCCACCGCCCATCCAGCCTTGCGTCACGGCACCGAGCCCGACCGATCTGCCCTCCTCCAGTTATCGCACCGCCCTCGCTCGCCACCGGATCCAGGCCCAGACTCGCGCACTCCACTTTTTCTGTTTGGGTCGTGCCGCCGCTCCACCCGGCACCAGCAAAACACGGGCGCCTCGACCCTCGATCGCACCCCCTCGTCTCCCACCACTCTGTCCATCGCACACCGGCATCAACATCATCACGTCAACCGTCATCCGTCATCCGCCCCGTCGCGCTTTTACGCCACCGCATACCTGCCTCCCCGCATCGATCCGAGCGCCAGGTCACCCGCCCAGGCTGGACCTGTCTGGCCCCGCATTCACTTCCACCGCTCTCTGCCAACCTCGTCGCCGCCACCACCACCGCCGCCGCCTCGACTCTACTTGAAGCCACTAGTCCGTGCCTGACCAGCTCCACCTCGCCGTCAGCACCACCACTGGCCAGGCGCGAGCACGCCAGCCAGCCATCGTCACCGCGGTACGCCAGCACCACCGACGTTCGACTTGCACGTCCGGCCTGCATACCGCCCTTCCGCCCGCCCCACTACCCCCCAGCCAGCCAGCCAGCTTCCAGCGCCCGCCCAAGATCGTCGCCTGGGCCGCGTCCCCGCCGTCCCACCAGTGACGTGCCAGGCGCGGGTCAGGTAGTCGGAGCCGGAGCCAGAGCCAGGAGCTAGAGCCTGTTGCCCGGTGCGCAGATCGGGCCTGGCACCCCTGCCACCAGTCGTCCAGTCAGCACGTGCCGACCCGAACTCAGCCGGACGAATCAGAGCCTCGAGCAGATCGGCAGACCGGCACCGACATGCTCCGGACCTCGGCAGCTTCGCGCCGCAAGGCGTCCCAGTTCCATGCATCCTCCAGCAACCACAGCACGCCCGCCTCGCAGCGCCGCATCGGCCCTCGCCACACCCTCCTCAGCGACCAGGCCATCCTCGGCTCCCGGCCGCCGCCTTCGCCGGCAGCAGCAGCAGCAGCAGCAGCATCGACCTCGACCTCGACCTCGACCTCGACTCCGACCACGCCGAAGCCCACCACTGCTGCACCCGAGTCGCGCCACACACACATCGACCTCGTCGACGATGAGTCCGAAGCCAAGCCTGCTTCGGCATCCTCCCCCCACTCTAACGGCGCCAAAGGCAGAGGGGACCGCCCGGAAGACGCCATCGTGCTGTCCTCGTCGCCTCCGGGGTCGCCAGTCCTCGCGCCTGCGCCCGCCATCACCGAGGAGACGCCTCGAAGCGTGAGGACGACCCGGAACAGCATCGGCCAGGCTCGTCCCACAGCTGGACCCGTCGACGGCAAGCTCGACCAGACTCCGATGCAGGGTTCGTCATCTGCCTCGGCATCAGCTTCGACATCGACGCCGGCATCGTCTGCGTCCTCGCTCGCCGGCGGCAAGCGCGGACTGGCGCACGTCACACCCTCCACATCCATCCTCGACGACACCGACAGCTCTCTCTCCGACCTCACCACGTCAGAGTCGGAATCGGAGTCGGAGCAGGAAGTAGAGGAGGAAGAACATCATGCACATGAGAAGGACACCAATGACATCCGGCGCCGCGAGGAGGACGAAGATGAAGATGAAGAGGAGGAAGTGGACGAGCTGGAGGACGAAGAGTACTCTGATGCCGACTCTCAGCTGCGTCTCCTCCGCAGCAAGGCGAGAGGCAGGGCCACGCCCGCTCGGGCTGCCAAGACCAAGGCCCTGGACAAGGGCAAGGAGCGAGCTAGGACCAAGACGCCCGACGGCGGCGCCAACTCTGCTCCCAACACCCCGAGCCGTCGCTCGGCCCGCATCAGCCTGTCCGGGTCCAGCATGCAGCAGGCCAGCGTGAGGAGGGACGAGCTCGACGACAGGCTCTCTGGCAAGACGCCCAGCCCCGTGCTCGCCATGATGCAGCAGCAGCAGAAGCAGCAGCAACACAAGCAGAAGCAGCAGCGGATCGAGCCGTACCTCGAAGAGCAAAAGCCAAAGCCGCAGACGCAGCCGCAGCTGCAGGAGCAGGGCCAGACGGCGGCCACTCCCGTCAAGCGAGGCCCAGGACGACCTCGCAAGGTGCGGCTGCCGGGAGAGGATTCTGTATCACCGAGGAAGAGCTCAACGCCTGCCGAGACGACCGGGTCCGCTGCCCGCAAGCCCGGCCGCCCCCAAAAGATGCCGGAGGCCGGCGTCAAGGTTGAGGCGAACTCGACAGCGTCCAGCACGGCACTCACCTCAACGCCAACTCCAGCCCGAGCCCAGGCCCCAGTCACGCCGCTTGCCTCGACTCCAGCCGCTGGCTCCGCTCAGGCTGCGGCCACACCGGGCACGCCCAGCACTCCTGGCACTCCTGGCACGCCAGGTTCCGCCACAGGTCCTCCGGTCAAACGCGGTCGAGGACGGCCGAGAGGAACGGGCCCGAAGCAGCTGGCCGCCAAGGCTGCCGCTGCTGCTGCTGCTGCTGCTGCCGCCGCCGCCGCCGCCGCCGCCGCCGAGGCGGCACAGGCCGAAGGCCACTCTACTGAAGCCACACCCACCGCAATCGCCTCTGCTGGAACCGCTCCTGCCGAAGCTGCTCCTGCCGAAGTCACGCCTGCTAAAGC